ATGCCATCAAAACTCTCCCTCTCGCTTGATGGATGCAGGTGTCAGCCCATTGCTTCTTCTCCCATACACTAGATCTGACTAAATGCTGTTTCTAAAACACAATCGTCTTCAAGTGACACTTTGCTGACGGAACTTGCATCACCATCAACAACCACATCACCACTGCTGGAACCGAAATAATTATCATGATGTAAATTGGAGGATAGAGGATCATCCCCTTTTGATGCACCTCTTTCCCATCATCTTATTATCACGACAACACAATCAAATGGTACACTAGAAGTAATTCAAAGCAGACGGTTCTGCTACCACTCATCGGTCCCTCACCAAATGCCCTTTATACCGATGGGTGGGCAGTTTCCCTAGTTTTTGGCTAAATCGGTGCAGCGGATCAGCAGACAAGCCAGCACCCTCAGATGATACTTTTTAGTGTCAACCGACACTTTAGGCCGTGAGACTTAAAAATAACCTGAAAGGGGGAAGGAAAATAAGAAAGGGTGCCGACAGACTGTCACATACCTCTTTTCTGAATTGGGGAAAATATTCAGGACTGCCTCCTTTTCAGCCAGTCGGTACCAGTAAAAATTTAGAAACCTAGATTTTAAACGCTCCTACTCAGAGGTGAGATACAGTTTTTAGTTCCCAACCAGCAAAAATTTAAAGAGAATGAGTGCTTTGCCTCCAACACCCAGCCAGAAGACGCGGTACCCTCCCTGAACTTCTATAGGTGGGAAAATGGTAGAGGCTGCAGCCATCCAACCTGCTTCACCCTAATCATGCCGCAACATCGAGGAATCTTCGATGCTGCCTATTATTAGCACACAAACAAAGGCCATCTAAGAGGACAAAAAAGCCTTTTTATTTGTCGTAGAAATCAACGGTGCGTCTTTGTTAAGTAGGCCTTTTGTTGCCTCAAGGGGATGCTGGATGTATCAAACTTTACACAAAAGATAACTATTTTTGCTGGTAGGCTATTACTGAAAGTCTGCTGCCAGGGAAGCTGGAAAATCATATTTTAACCCCATCGTAGGATGTCCACTTCTGGTCGGTGATTGCTGAATGAGAAGGGGCCAGTCCTGAATAAATCAGAAGATCTAGAGCAGAAGACTGTGACAGTCTATTGTCATCCCTTCTTATTTTGAAGTCTCATAGCATTAAATGTCGGTTAAAAGTGGCAAATGTCATTTGGGCTTATCTCCTGTCACTTTGTCTGCTAGTCTGCCAGACTGATCTAGCTCCAACGCCGAGAGAAGTGCTTGCCTATTCAGAGAGAGAGAGCAATGAATGATGGCAGAATAATTTGTTTGGAATTGCTTCTAATCTACAGCTTGATTCTGCTGATGGCATGATGAGATGCTGAGATAGAGGGGCATCAAATGGAGAACAATCCTCTCCCTCCTCTATTCATCATTATCATAATGATGATGAAAACAATGACGAAATGTTGTAAATTAAATGTCATCTGGATATTAATGTGTTTCAGGAAGAGCATTCAGCTAAGTCGGTTGTGTGGGAGAAGAAACAGTGGGCTGACACCTGCATTCGTCAAGCGAGGGGGGGAGGAAGTTTGGAAGGCAGATGGACAATTGATTCCCCCCAAATTGTCAGGC